ATGTCTTTGTAAGGTGCGAAAMGCCTGCTATTAAAGAAAAAATTAAAAAGAAAAAGAAATAGTACAAAGAAATAAAAGTTTGAGATATTGTTTCAGAACTGATCGAATAATCTGGACAAAAACTAGTTAAACACTACGAAAAGGCTAGGAACACCTCGCTACCCAGKGCCGATATGCAGCTGTGCAGATCAAATCTACTCAAATTGTGACAGCTTTTACTGACCACTAGTATCTTATGGCTTTGAATTATAACTAAATGCTGTGGAACCATGACATCTCTTTTGTTTGTCTTTTCAGCTTGGATTGTATTATTTGACTTTGAGACCGGCAAACAGGGATGGACTATGACTGGAACAGTGTTTAATAATCAGCCAACGTACGAAGACAATGCCGGAAAAAGAGGAAAACCAGCAAATATCAATGGAAAATGGTGGATAGGAGGATATGAAAATCGACCAAGTCCTTCTCATCCAGCAGGGAGTGTACAAGGTGATGGACCTGTAGGAACAATGACGTCACCGCCATTCAAGATACGTGGATCTAAATTAAGGTTTTTGATAGGCGGTGGGTGCAATATAGCTAAAGAAAGGGCCGAGCTTTTGATTGGCGAAAAGATTGTTGCTAACAAAACGGGAAACTGCAATGAATATATGGTTAAAAAAGAGTGGGATGTTCRAAACTACATTGGACAAGAAGCCCGAYTTCGGTTGGTCGATGTGAACAGAGGAGGATGGGGACACATCAATTTTGATCATGCTGAAGGTTACTTCTGTTAACAAATAAAAAACCTCTAACATGGCCATCAAAAAAAGAAGAAAAACAAACATAACAACATCAATAACAGTGAATTATCTCACATGTTCTAAGTAGATCCATGATCATCATCAGGCCTAATTGGTTGAAAACCTCTTCAACCCCTCGATGTATATCAGATTTTTAGATTAGAGACAGGGAATGACAAAATCTGAAAAATATATCAAATCCATAGTCATATATATGTTATCAAAGAAGCAAGATTTTGCT